TAATAATAATAATAATAGTAGTAGTGGTAATAGTAGTGGTAATAGTAGTAGTAGTAGTAGTAGTAGTAGTAGTAGTAGTAGTAAGGTTTTAGGTCCCAAAATCCATACTCTGAATGGTTTTTGGACCTTGAAACCCTACTATTTGGGTACTCGGACCCTTAGGGTAAATAATTACCAGTACTATTTTGGGGGTTCCTTAGTATGATTCTACTATCACGGGCCCCAAGACCCCGGCCCTTGCATTACGACCCTAAAATCTGAACCGGAAGCTCCGGCAGTAAGATTCAGCACAGCAGCATTCAAGTCTGATGGTGGCTATAGTTGGGGCTTAGGGTTTCGGGTTTAGGGTTCAGGGTTTAGGGTTTAGGGGGCCAAAATGACTTTACTTATTGTGACAGACAGCACAGCAAAGCTGACGACGACAAGGTGCAACTACCGATGAGCTTGTCAACTCCTGGCGCACCGATCCTCACTCGCCTGCCGCGTATGCATCTTGAGTCTAGAGACGTAACGGCGCTGGGGCCAATGTATTTCTATTTCAATGTAGGTTCCGGAATACATCAAAACCTTAATTACTCAACTTTTGTAGCCCTTCAACTATGCACCATGAGCATGACAGGCGGCTCGGTGGTCTTGCATTAGCTGTAGCGATGCTACTAAAATGCTGCTGGCTCGGTCGCATGAGCGTATCCCACAAAGGCCACTTTCAACTCGAAGAGACCTTTGGAGCAGGAATCCTCCAGGGCTTTTGGAGGTAATTACTCCGGTTGATGACATAAATCCTGCATTACCCATGATAATAAGGACTGTACCATAATTCCCATAGTTTAGTGTCCTTAAGGTAATGCAGGATTTATATCATCAACAGTACGGCCTTTAATGCCTACACCTGAAGCCTTCAACCGCATCAAAGGCCTTTGTAGCTCAGAATACTAGGCACTGACATACCTCGAAGTCCTGATCCCTTGGCCCTCAGGTTTCGTTGCAAAGCTGCGGGTGGCAATACTATGCTTACGGCCTAGGTGAGCCTAAATGCAAAACCAAATGAACCTGTGGAGCGGTGTCACAGCTCAGAACCATCTGAGGTCAACCATCGATCCAAAACTGGAATCCTATAAGACCCTGCACACACAACGAGTGTCTGGCAGTCCTTTGTGCTGACGACCTTCCAAGACTGGGTGCAAGAGCTGAAAAGCAGCTGGGCTGATGTGGGGGTGTGGTTTCGGGCTTATGGTCGTTACCCCTAAACCCTAAGAGCCCCCTAAACCCTAAACCCTAAACCCTAAACCCTAAGAACCCCTAAGCCCTTGGTTTGTAAGCCGCTAAGTTAAGCCTAAGGCCCTGCGGAGTTCGGTTCTTTAGCACTTCGGGGCGAGAACAGACCTGGGATGTCTCCTGTTGGGCCAATCATAGAAAGTAGAATCTACAGGGTTTAGGGTTTTGGGTTTAGGGTTTATCTTGGACCATATATCCCAAAATGAGAGTTAGGGGGGCTTCCCATCATCTGCTGTATATTCTACTGTATCTGGCCTTTTCGAGCCAGGCCTGAAGCATCGAACTCCCAACTCCGACACCGAGCTCGGAAATTTGAGCTTCAGAAGCTAGGGACCCCGAACCAAGATCCCAATTTGTAGACAATTTGTAGGACTGTTATTCTAGAGACCCTCCCCTCCGCCCGTTCGAAGCTATGTCCTATGCTGTTGCGAAGCCCGCGAACATGTCTTTCGCAACCCCCGCAAAACCCCCATCTCCCTAAACCTCAACCCCTAGAATCCCCACCCTGCCTCTTTTCCCAAGACCCTGGCCCTAAGCCCTAAATCCTA